CAATCAAAACTTTCACGTGATTGCACACATTAAAGGGCCAAGATGCAAATTATGGCAACCGTTAAGTAGATTGGAAGGTACCCTATATGATTTATGTATGCGGAAATTTTTTGGAAGGTGCCCTATGTGATTTATTTCAGATGATAGTATTCGGATTTTTTTTAGAAGTCGATGTACTTTAAGGGGACAGATTGTTTGTTCATAAAATGTTTCTATATCAGATTCGACCTAGTGCATTATTAGATTTGGATGGAAAAAAATAGACTTTGGGCGTGTTCGGCAAAATTAGCTGGTAGCGGATGGCTTGTAGCGGGTAGCGTTTTGTTGAACGCTACATGAAGTACCATTTGGATCTGGAGCGTTTTATTTAAACTAAACGCTAGAAGCTTGTAGTGTCGAACGAAACTTTTTGTTTAAAACGGAGCATTTTGTCAAACGCTAGAAGCTCTCAAACGCTTCGTGCCGAACACGCCCTTTTAGATTAGAGAACACAAAATGAGTTATCGAGCGGAGGAGTTTTCTTTGATTATGGGTTTTAATTACATTGATTAAGTGACTGATACCATCATCATCAACTATGGCTATATAATTATGCATTTCAGGATCTTAGAAAACAAGACTAATATTAGATTTAGGGAAATCTCTAGAAAAGTCCTAAAATTTTAGTCTAATTTATGAAAAATTCCCGAACTAATTTTTGTTTACAGAAAAGCACAAAATACCGGCTAAAACTTCGAAAAAACCCTTTTTGGTCGGTTTCGTAGATTTAGCCAGTATTTTGTCCTTTTTCGTTAGTTTGCTCAAAATATTATGACTTTTTTGAAAATTACTCGATAACCAAAATATTGGGACTTTTTTGAAAATTACTATGGAATTAATGGATATTATTATTAACAAATCATTTATAAACATAAAAAAAATATATATTATAAACAAATGAAATACATTTGTTGCTAATTTCTAGGAATATAATGGCAGACTATGTACTTCTCTATTGTTTGTTGATCACTTCAAAGTCTCTATGTTCTTCTTATGTATCGTTGTAGGTATCATAGTGAGAAGTACTCTGTTAGGCGTGACCAATACAAGAGTTAATAATATTTATTAACACACAATCAATGCGTGTCTACTTGTTATTAGGCATGATGCTATGTGATCACGTGTTATTAGAAAATATCATTACACGAACATATAGATCTTTCATTATGTTTTTTAACCTAACTACCACTTAACCTCCAAACATTATCCGGTAAGACGGAGGGTGTGGGAGGGACTCTTCCCTCACTTTTGGTGGGTTATACCCCTATTTCCCTCATTTCCCTTTCCCTCACCTAAAAACCAAAGAATGGGTGGGAAGCCCTTCCCTCACTTTTTTTTAATATATTTCATACATATATTATACTCATTTTGTAGGGAATTAAAAACCATGAATTTTGATATATGTTTTATATTTTTATAGTAGGTATATAATTTTATAAATATTAAAAAAGATAAAAAGAAAAAAGAGAAAAAAAAACTGGCCAATAGCGTGAGGAGAGAGAGTGCGGCACCCCCTCCCTCCACTTCTTTTCCAGCGGTTCTTTCCCTCACCCACGGAGTGGTGTGCAGGAGTGAGGGAAGCTTCCCTCACCCCTTTCCCGCACTCACTCCGTCTAGCTTAACAACCATAAAATTACACACATCTATCGAGAGTGAAAAGTAACTTTGAATGACAATTTAAATAGATAATCACCCTTCACTTGTTTCCATATAAATTATCATTTATGGTTCATTTTTCACATTTTATAAATGTGTGTTAGCCGATAGTTGTTAACATGTAAGGTATAAATATTGGTTGTAGTTAGGTTAAACAACATAAGATGAACACCAACATTAGAGGAATGCTAATTAAGTTCATCTTACCATCATACATACAACAACGCATAGGAAGAACGTAGAGAGTTTGAGTGGTCAGTAAGCAATAGAGTACTTAGACTACCAATTTATTCCTAGAAATTAGCAACAAATGTATTTTTTTTTTATAATAAAAGTTTTTATGTTTATAAATGATTTGCTAATAATAATATTCATTAATTTCATGGAAATTTTCAAAAAAAGTATCAATATTTTGGTTATTATGTAATTTTTGGAAAAGTCCCAAAATTTTGAGCAACCTAACGAAAAAGAACAAAATACCGGCAAAATCTGCTAAACCGGCCGAAAAGGGTTTTTTTCGAATTTTTAACTGGTATTCTGTGCTTTTCTGTAAATAAAATTTAGTTTGTGACTTTTTCATAAATTAGATTAAAATTTTTGTGACTTTTCTAGAGATTTCCCTTACATTTATCTAGCAAACCACTCTTAATTTTAACCGAATATAAGAAGTCGCTAAAATTTATATTATCCGGAAATATCACATTGAAATTGAACATTCTAGTAATTCCTTCTCGCCAAACATATGTTAGTTGAGAATCAACTAACTCCTACTAGTTACAACTACAACGAAGTATTCAGTGGAGCTGATTTTAGTAAAAAATGCAACAAATGTATTTATAAATAAAACAATGATAATTTAACTTTTTTATAGAACATTTTATATATTGACTAGTGAAATTGTACGAAATCATAGCCAAAGATGTCAGAAATCGTAGTCAAAATCTATAAGATTGTAGTCAAACTTATAAGCTTTTCATAGAAACATTAAAAAAAATCGACACAAGAAATAAGAGTTGCCACCAAAAGAAATCGTAGATGACTATTAGCCATCTGCAACTTTATAAAATGCATTCCTTTTATAGATACACATTAGTTGGCTGAAATAGGCCGAAAATAGGTTTAAATTACAACCAGAGAGACTGATTTCATAGCTGACGAGAAATTGTCTGTAAAAGGATTGTTATTTTTGGAAAACGTTATCTTTTGGTAAGTTTTTGAAAAATCATTAACGTATTTGGTTAAATTGTAAGTTTCTCTTGTTTATATTATAATAAAGTATACAAATATTAATTTTAAGGTTAAGTTTTATATATTTATAGTAGAAAAGAAGCCTCTAAACCCCCATGTGTAACTTTTTAGTCACAAGAAAAGATAAAACAATACATCATGAACACACAGAAATTTGAACACTTTGCGTACAGATTTTTCTTTCATCTCTACTATTTTATTTTTCATCTAAAACCAAACAAAAATCATACAATATGAGTCTTTTATGGTTTGAGATTCGATTTCTACGAGAGCTTGAATCAATCATTGTATCCATATGGAAAATTAAGTACTTGGTGAAAGAGGCAGAGCTGTAAAAACAACAATTCCTCGGAAATTCAAGACGTCTCTCATTCCTAACACATTGGTGGTCATTGAATAGTATTCAAGTATCCTAGTTGGTTTTACCGTTTTGTCCAATTTCGGTGGGCCCTACACCATATTTGAACGTGAAAACTAGGGAAAGTGACACAAATGCCCTACGAATTTTTTAGGGTTTATCCGTTTAGTCCCTAAAGTTTTTGTCGGGTTTTATGAATCATTAAACTATGATATAATGTGTTCTTTTAGTCCATATCAACTTGTAATAACCGGTTCAGTGATATTTTAGACCAAAAAAACTCATATTGTTCCCCTATAAAACCAAAAAAATAAGTTTGAAGATCAATTAGTACAAAAAAACTATTCATTTCTTCTAAAACCGATTCACACGATCTCCAAACTTTTTTTTTTTTTTTTTTTTTGGTTTTATAGGGGCACAATGTGAGTTTTTTTAGTCCATGTCAACCTCTAATAGCCGGTTCAGTGATCTTTTACACACAAAAAAAAAACTCAGATTAAGTTTGGAGATCAATTCGTACAAAAAACTAATCATTTTTTCTAAAGCCGATTCACACGATCTCCAAACTTATTTTTTTGGCTTTATAGCGGCGCAATGTGAGTTTTTTAGTCCATGTCAACATATAATAGTTAGTTCAGTGACCTTTTAGACCAAAAAAACTCATAGTGTGCCCCTATAAAGCCAAAAAAATAAGTTTGGAGATCAATTCGTACAAAAAACTATTCTTTTCTTCTAAAGTCAATTCACACGATCTCCAAATTTATTTTTTTGGTTTTATAGGGGCGTAATATAAGTTTTCTAGTCCATGTCAACCTATAATAGCCGGTTCACTCATCTTTTAGACCAAAAAACCTCAGAGTGTACCCCTATAAAGCCAAAAAAATAAGTTTTGAGATCAATTCGTACAAAAAACTATTCTTTTCTTCTAAAACCGATTCACACAATCTTCAAACTTATTTTTTTGGTTTTATAGGGGCACAATGTGAGTTTTTTTTATCTAAAAGGTCACTGAACCGACTATTACAAGTTGACATGGACTAAAAGAGCAGATCATATCCTAGTTTAATAACCCATAAAACCCGACAAAAACTTTAAGAACTCAACGGGTAAATCCTAAAAAGTTCGTAAGGCATTTGTGTCGTTTTCCCTAAAAACTAATATAAAGAATTATAATTCATATTCATTACAAAGTTAAAACTAAATAAAAACCAGGTTCCAGATGCTTTATACAAAAGGAGACATAAGATATGACAATGGATACAGACGTTACTTAAGATAAGGGTGAAAGCCAATAATGATCAAAATAAAGATTAGAACAAAAACCCATGATTTAGGGCATTCGATTATGACCTCTTTCTAGTAGTAAAAACACAATTGAGTTCCTAAAATCGATTGATGTAATAGACATTTCAATTAAAGCAACATCCACAAAATCTTAGCTTTGAAACATCACTGTGTTAATCAGAATCAAACCCATGAAACACATGATTTCATCACCAGAAGTAAATTCAACAAATTAGGTATCTTTATCTGAAAATTCCTACTCAGAAATGGCTACTTATCTGTGAAAGTGAACGAGCACTAATCAGCAATCAGTCATTTTATTGATTGATTCAGATGCTACAATGGTGGCCTAAAATACATACATTGGGGATGACAATGACATCCAGTTTTTCACCAAAATCTACGGTTATTCTTCTTATCCAGCACCACCGCTGCAGATTCCGGCGAGAGAAACTGAAAACCGACAAAGAGAACAAACAGAGGTCGGCCCTTCATCGACATCAGAGGACGGCGGTTGTGGTGGTGGTAAAACCCTACCATCAGCGAATAACATTCCTTCGTTATCCCTATCACGATTATCCTCATTCGTATTCATGACTGCTTCACCATCAAACAATGCCTCTTCCCCAAACCTCCGTTCGACCTCCAGAAATTCCCCAAGCGACGACGGCTTTAAATCCTCACCACTGCACAACCACCACCACCGCCTCCTCTTCAATCTCTTCCGCCGCCGTTCAGATACTAAATCCACCGCATTACTCTTCCTCCTCCTGCGTCCACCAAACCCGACGGCATTACTGGGCGTCGATCCGAGAGTGACAGTGGGCGTAGTGTCACGCCGCTGGGAGGGAACTCTGAATGTGATGGTGGGGAAAGTGGTGGCGACGCCCATCAGAGTACCTAAGCTTGTGCTCCGGTCATGGAAGAAGGAGCCAGTTGACTCGGTGTCGAGATCAGAGGAGGAGATCGAAGATATTGTCGGAGATGAGAGTGGCGGAAGCAATTCCATCGCTGGATCTACCATTTTTTATTTCATCTTATCGCCAATATTCAGATCTCTGTCTCGGATATATCGGCAACTGATGAGAAATGAATTGACTAATCTACCCTTTAAGTTCATAGATACCTAAATTAACGAAGAACTTGGATATATCAAAGATGTGTTCTGTTCGTTTTCTAAGAACATTTTAACAAAATTAAATTATCGTCAAAGCATAAAAATATGAAAAATTAACGCCAAATGCACACTCAATAATTAAGACGAAAAAGACAAAAGAAGAGAAAAGAAAAGGAAACATAAGAGCTGACAAAAGATGATTCTCACCTCAGATGTTTTTTATTTTCTGATTTCTTTTGCAGTATATGTTTTTATTTTCTAATTTTTTTTTTCTGAAATTCGTATGTATTAGGCTGGAGGGAGTGATGTTACCATATAAGTGTGTTTTATTACCACACCCTAAACCCTAAGAGTGGTGTCATACTCTTTTTTATTTTTGTTTTTTTAATTATTTAATAAAATAAAACTTCATTTTTAATAAAAAAAACATATTTTAAAAAAAAACATTACATTGCAGTATTTTGGTCTATTTTATTATTTTTTTAATGGATAAAATATTTATTTTTTTAAAGATAATATTTCATTAATTAAAAACAAAAATATCATATATTGCTTAATTTAAAAAAACCTAAAAATTTAGAAAAGCAAATTATAAACATAAAACCTACAACTTCAAAATAAAAAAAACCACACCGAAAAATTAAAAACTTGAAAAAAAAAACTAGAAGTTAGCCACGATTTGCGTAACGTTTTCTCACTTCCTCGTTCATCACCAAAATAACTTGAAGTTCGTCTCCGGTCATATTCGACGTGTCCAACAATAGTATTGTCATGTCTTTGTCCCTTTGTTTCCGAAGCTCTCTTTCAAAAGCAATTTGTAAAATCTTGTCCATTCTATCTTTTATACCCTTTATATCGGCCCTCATTTTTTTCAACTCATCTGAATCTAACACTTTGCCTTTGCATTTGCTTTTTTGCTTTATCTATTCCCATAGGAAGGTGGTGAAACTGGAACCGGTTCATCTTCGTTCAGATCAAATTGAACACGAGCATCTGATGTAGTGTGGTCGGACTCAGATGTTCTGTTGCGTTTTGAACCACTGTTGATATGTTCGTTTGATGTTTTGTTGTTTGCCATTTCTTGTTATCTTTCACAAAATTCCCAACTTTAAGAAACTTGAAAGCCTTCAAGTTTTCTTTTTGATACACTTTCAGTGTTTTCCTCAAAATCACATCATCGCTTTCTCCACTTTTCCATTGACGTTTCATGTTGGTATACAAATCATTAAACAACATGATTTCCTTGTTCATCTTCCCCCATTTCGAGTACACTTGATGTTTTGAACAGTATTCTCCACGGTTCATTCCTTTATAGAACCTTTGTAAAACTCGAATCCAAAAATTATCATGCTTTTGGTCTTTTCAAATCGCCGCATCTTCTGAAATATCGATCCAAGATTGGGCCAGAACTAACACTTCTAAGGGTTCCCAACCTTTAGGTTGCACCTTCTCTTTTCTTTTAGTTGTTGCTCGAGTAGGCTGGGATTCTTCAACAAATTCCGGTTCGAAATCAGAAACGACCATATGTGATTCTGTTTGTGTTTGTTGAACAAACATGAGTTGAGACAAAAAAATCAAATGGATTAAAATATGTGTCGGGTTGTGGTAGTGGTTGTATTTGTGGTAGTTGTTGTGTTGGTTGTTGTGGAAAATACAGAAGCATACCGCCATAATGCTAATATGGAGGCGAGAAAATCGATTGATCAAATGAAGTTATTAGGGTTGTAGTGTTTCTAGCAGATGTTTTTTCTTTGAAGGGCCTTTTGGAAGAAGACATTTTGAAAATTTTATTGAGTAAAAGATAGTTAAAGAGATAAGGAAATAGAGTGAAGATTTTGTTAAAATGGTAAGCATCTGGGTATCTTAATTTTATCCACTTTCAAATATTTTTCATGAAAGGAGCTCAATTTATTAATGAGTTTTTCTGTTTTTGCTTTTTTTTTGTTGTAGAAAAGAATAATGGGGACAAAGAATATTTGTCTTTTGGTGTTTATGTTTACAATTTGTGACACCATGATTGTGGATGTTGATACTTCACCTGTAACAGTGAAGAAGATAAAGGGGACGAAAGTATGTGATCAGGTTAAAGGGTGGTTTGAATATTGTTGTGTAATCTCACAATATCTCAATTTTTTATTATTACCAATTTGAGAATGACCAATTCAATCGGACATGAAATTTACTGAAATTTAAATAATTCAAATTCGTTTGATTTTGTCAACCAAAGATGAATTTTAAGACATTCAAATTTCTCCAAATTCCTTTTAAATGAGTGAAACAAACAAGCCCTAAGGCAGAAGGGTGTGGGCGCGGTCCGGGACCGCGGTTCAAGCCACGTCAACCAAGAACACCGCCCCCAGGTCGCGGTCGCGGTCTGGTGTGGTCTTGGCCGCACTACGGCTAGAAAATACCGCGTGCTGTGATTGGTCATTGGGTTTTGACTGCTTTTTTGACCGTTGAATCGGTCTTTGTGGTTAATTTATTTTTATTTTTTTTTTAACTTTACTATATATATATATATATATATATATATATTATATATATATATATATATATATATATATATATATATATATATATATATATATATATATATATATATATATATATATATATATATTACCATTTTACACAACATTTTTACAGAACCTTTAACCATATCTCTACTCCTTTTCTCTATTTTTTTTTTTTTTTGAAAAATGTCATCTTCCAAACAACCCAGCAAAGAAAAAACACCAAACAGAAACACCAACACCCAAATACCTTCATTTGATCAACCGATTTTCTTACCTCCGTATTACCACTACGGTGGTATGTTTCTGTATTTTTCACAACGACCAGCGCAATCACTACCACAAACACCACCACTACCACAACCCGATCCAGATTTTAATCCATTTGCTTTTTTGTCTCAACCCGAGTTTGTTCAACAAACACAAACACAACCAGAAACGGTGGTTTCTGATTCTGAACCGGAATTCATTACAGAAACTCAGTCCACTCGAGCAACAACTAAAAGAAAAGAGAAGGTGGAGGCTAGATGTTGGGAACCTTTGGAAGCGTTAGTGTTGACACAATCTTGGATCGATATTTCAGAAGATGTGACGGTTGGAAAAGACCAAAAGCATGACCGTTTTTGGATTCGCGTTTTACACAGGTTCCATAAAGGAATGAACCGTGGAGAATACCGTTCAAAACATCAAGTGTACTCCAAATTGGGGAAGATGAGCAATGAAGTCATGTTGTTTAATGACTTGTGGAACAACATGAAACATCAATGGAAAGTGGAGAAACCGATGAAGTGATTTTGAAGAAAGCGTTGAAAGTGTATCAAAAAAAAAATCTGAAGGCTTTCAAGTTTCTTGAAGTTTGGAATTTTTTGAAAGATAACAGAAAATTGCTGATTAGCAAAACATCAGACGAACATATTGACAGTGGGTCAAAACGCAGTAGAACATCCGAGTCCGACCACACTACATTAGATGCTCGTGTTCAATTTGATCTGAACGAAGATGAACCTGTTCCAGGCTCACTACCTTCCCGACCAATAGGAAGAGACAAATTAAAAAGCAAAGTCAAAGGCAAAACGTCGGATTTATATGATTTGAAAGAAATGGGAGCCGACATGAAGGGTATAAAAGACCGAATGGACAAGATTTTGCAAATTGCTTCTGAAAGAGAGCTTCGGAAACAAAGGGAGAGCAACATGCAAATACTAGCGACGGACACGTCAAATATAACCAGGGTCGAGCTTGAAGTGGTTTTGGTAATGAAGGAGGAAGTGAAAAAACGTTACATCAATCGTGGCTAATTTCTAGTTTTTTTTTCAAGTTTTTAATTGTTTGGAGTGTGTGTGTGTGTGTGTGTGTTTTTAAGTTGTTGGTTTTATGTTTCTAATTTGTTTTTCTAAATTTTTAGGTTTTTTTTTAAGTTAAGTAATGTATGGTATTTGTATTTTTAATTAATGAAATATTATCTTTTTAAAATTATGTTTTTTTATTAAAAAAAATAAGTTTTATTAAATTAAAATAGTTAACAAAAAAACAAAAAAAATTAAAAAATAAAAGTGTTGCACCACCCCCCTTGGTGTGGCAAGAAACCGCACTTGTGTGGTAAAAAAATGACATGACGCTTATGTGGCGAGGGAGGGAGTGCGGTTTCGATGGCACAACTCCCTCCGGCCTAACATTAAAAACAAAAATTTAAGGTAACAAACTTAAAAAAGCAAAAATATGGATCATGTTTGTAAGAATGTATGTTTTAAAGCATACAAACTTCTCACACAACTTGCTCATAAAACAATTTATATCAAACATCACAACTTAAAAATAAAAAACTATTTGAATTAAAGGAAAATTCCATGTCATAAATAGTGTACCAGATGATGTGGCAACACCTGTGCCAAATAAGCACTATCAGTTTTCTACGTTAAACATTGCCTAAATCAGTAGAAAATTGCATGTTAATTGCTATTGTGGATATGTGGGTAAAATAAAAAGTACATTTCGATTTTTTGCAATGTTCACTTAAAAATATGGTATGATAGCAGAAATTGAAAAGGTATAATTTCATTCATTTACATCATTTACATACTATGAATACTTGTACTTCTATCATGATGTGAAGATAAATCATAAATGTAAATGGCAAGAAGTTGGTGTCATGAGTTTACCACGCTATTTAAGACTGGTGAATGTTGGAGATAGCAGCAGCAATGCTTTTACAATCTAATTCCATTGTCTTCATCCAGTTCTCAAAATCTCCTATTTCCTGTAATATACAGTTTCATCACTAAGAGATGAAGTGATTCATATATTCAAAATTCGACTTTGGTGCACCAAATTAGCTATTGCAGAATATGAAGAAAAAAAAAAAGTGCCAAATTTTGGTCCTCATAAACTTAGGGTTTCTTTTTCAGAAGAGCTAACCTACTACATACTTGAAAACTTGATCTTAACATGAATTTACAATTTAATCATCATGTACAAGTGTCAAAACTAATAGAAACTGTAACTTTTTTTCGAGTTCCAACACTTGAATATGACTCACACCACTAGTGACTAGTGGTATAGAAACGAAGAGGAAAAGTGAACCTTGATAGCGTTGTTGATAGCATGAGTAGAAGCAAGCCACTGATCAGTCTGTTTTGCAAATCGCTTAATGGTAGTCTTCAATGCTCGGATTTCGACTTCGATTCGCTTCTCGTTCACGAAACACTCTTCCACGCCTCCATTAACAGCCTCCACTAACAGATCTGATACGCGAGACGCGCTCTTGATCGCTTCTTTCTTCGATTTCTCTATGTAAGTACCAAATCAAACAACTTAAAATCGAATTCCCCAAAACTACTATTTCCGAAAGAAAAAGACTAAACGAATTGAAATAACCTGTGTGTTCTCGCAGTCGTATAGCGGAGCTCTGATGATCATTGACGAGGCGGAGTAGAGATGATTCAAGACTTTCCGGTTGCACATCCGATCGAGAAGTCTCCGACGAGGAATTTACGCACGCACGCGCCTGCAATCGCCGCGGTGAACTCATTTTGGGGAATTGGACCATTCACATCCCTTGCAGTTATCACCAAAGCATTTTTGGCTAAATTTCATAACATACGCCTCTTTTATGTTTAATGTCTAATATACCCTCATTTTATGTTGAATTCCAAAACATACCAAATGACGTTTTTCAAGTTTCTATATCCAACTAAACTTTCCAGCTTTGATGGGGCTTTGTGTATCTAAGCAAAAAAAAAAAAAAAAAAGCGGTGGTTTTTGGATGTTCGAGTGGTGGAGTCGTATAGGGCCTTTAATTTTAAGAGGCCTCAATTTTAGAACAAATATATATTAATAGTTTTGGTATTTTCGCTTTAAGGAAAGTATAAAAATACATGTTTCTTATATAAGTTCAAGCAAACATTATATTTTCAATACCGGATATCTACATTTTTGAAATTATATTTTTCAGGAAAATTAATTTAACATATATCGAACACAATGAGTCTAGTGAAAAAAAAAAAAAAAAAAAAAAACAATATGACCAAATAGTCCATTTTACTATTCTAATATTTTTAAACAAACCAATAAGATCCTATAACATCCAAAAAATACGAACCAAAAAATTCATTTTCATTCAAGTAAAAATAGTATTTCAAATCATAGTCCATACAATCCAAATAAAATAAGTATGTCAAATAACAGGAAAAATCAGAGTGTCCCAAAATCAGAATCCATATGGTGTGTGCAATAGAGTCACTCCAAGTTCTTCCTCTTACCACTTGGAAGTACCTAAAACATAAACTGAAAACCGTAAGCACAAAGCTCATTGAATTCCCCAAACTACCTCATACCAGACATAATAAATCATACACTAGGCCCCTGCCCTGCATCGAGCCTCGCTCACCTGTCACCGTGCCTCGCCCGCTATACGCATACAATCAATATCACATAATCATGCTAACACATATAATGATCATAACACTAGCATATGTTCCAATCCTCAAGCCTCGCCTGACATCGAGCCCCGCCCGGTATACATAGCAGCACATAACACATGCAAGGGTCACACAAACTCTTAGCATCATAATATAATCAATAAGGGTCGGCATTGTTGCCTTAGACCCACTACTAGAAAAACAGCCTTTTACGACGCTCATTGCGTGTCGTAAAAGGCTCAGACGACGCACAAATGCGCATCAAGCAAGGCCCTGTCATAAAGAGAGACGACGCACTTTTGCCCGTCATCTATAGACGACGTGCATTTACGACGCTCATTTACGACGCGCAGTTACGACGCTCGTTTACAACACGCAATGCGTATCAAGGAAGGCCCTATCATAAAGAAAGACGACACACATTCGTATGTTGTAACCTTACGACGCGCGTGTTAATGACACGCAATGCGTATCAAGAAAGCCTCTATCAAGAAAGGTCATGTCATAAATGAAGATGACACACATTTTTGCGTATCATAATTGTTTAAAAAAAATTATTTTTTATAGATTTACCAATTTTCAAATTAAATTTGCATTTAATGCCTCATAATAGAAAATAAAATATCATATACAAAAAATATAATCCATTTCATAAAATTTAATGTCATACAATTCTATTTCTTACAATATATAAATTTACATTCATCTAATCTACTTTGTGTTTCATACAAAAAATCTATTTCATGCGGCTTCTTCCATTTCCTTTATTAGCAGCTTCCATCATCAGTAGAACAACTAACAATTGAAATGAAAAATGCAACACTTGTATACCTGCAAAGAACTTGAAAAAAACAACAAAGATTTAATGTTTATATATAGCAAGAACATATTGAATGCATAAAATAACAAGCTAATAGGAAGTGTAACTTATTTGTGAAATTGTTAAAAATTACAAGTAAAGATTTTACTATTTCTGTAAAATAAAAAAATTTAATTACCTTAGATTCCATTCAGCAAATTACCTTAAATTCCATTCAGCACAAGCATAAGGACCAACCCTGAGATGAACATAGAGTCCAGCTTTCTTAATCAGCTTAATTAACTTCACCAAATCATACCTATCTTCGAAATAATATTGGGAAAGAGAAAAGAAATCTTGAAATCAAGAAAATGATTTAGTAAATTAAAATAAAATATTATTGTATTTCAAGAAATTTTGAAATTAAGAAAATGATTTAGTAAATTAAGAACTTCCCAGATACGAAAAGATTTACATATCTTCCAAAGCTTCAATCTTCCTTTAGGATCAGCTGTGAATATATACCTATACAATAGTAACAATTTAAAATTAGCAATCAAATTTGAAGTCAGTATTGTTATGCATATGTCCTACAAACTCCGAAAATACTTTTCACTTCCTATACTATAAACAAGATGATTTATTATATGCACATAAGAGTAATGATTGAGGTGAACAATAGTATGCATTTTTCTAGGTACTTTAGCATTGAAACCAGTAACAGACTAGTAAAATGGGAGTATAACTTGAACGGTACCTATTGTCCAAAAACTTGCACCAATAGTATGCAGCCACAAAGAAATTTTCCTCAGGGAGCTTGTGAGGTAAAAACATCTCTACGGTCTACACGTTTCATGCTTGATTTCCATCTTTTATCATTTTTAAAAACAAAAGTTCTAACAAGAAACCTTCTTTCAGTAATGCAAGTGATGCTCTTGATAAGCTGATATTCGTAAGTGTAACGGATCCCTCATTACTTGGAGATGTTGGTGAGCTTGAAATCCGAATTAAACCTGATCCAGAAAAAGGGACAATCACAATATCGTAAGATTACTTACTTTTCTTCATTCTTGAATCTTTCCTCATAAAATACAACTCTACAATAGATTTATAAACCTTTTTTACCCTTATTGTAGAGACACTGGTATTGGAATGACCAAAGAAGAACTAATAGACTGCCTTGGAACCATTTCTCAAAGATGTACTTTACCTTCTTTCATATAAATCATTAGCAAATATGTACTGCATTACATTAATCGGTTAATTTTATAAAATGTTGAATCTTTTTGTTTAGGAGAACAAGGATCTTGGAAATGATAATAGTTTGATTGGTCAATTTGGTGTTGGGTTCTATTCGGCTTTTATGGTTGCTGAAAAGGTCCTTAATACCCTTTTACCATTTTCTTAATTTCTTAATTTGTCAATTAAAAATTATTCTAAATATTTTATAAAAACGGGTGATTGTTTCCACCAAGAGTCCAAGGTCAGACAAGCAATACATTTGGGAAGCAGCACCTGAAAGTAGTTCATATGTAATTAGATAAGAAACGGATCCTGAAAAACAGATTCGTAGAGGAAAAGAAATAACACTCTTTTTGAAGGTCCTTTAACTCTTAGAAAGTTCAATCTTTTTGCTTTATTTTATTTATTTCAAATTCAATTAATATTTTATTTTGTTTTGTATAGGATGATGACAACTACAAGTTTACTGAGCCAAGTAGAGTTCATGGTTTAGTGAAAAACTACTCACAATTTGTTTCTTTCCTGATTTTCACATGGCAAGAGAAATCAAGAACAGTTGAGGATCCGTTCAGGGTTTAGTGATAAACTTTCCATGTCATCCAATTATAGCTAAATAACTGAAAGGGTCAGTTGTTTTTCACACTCTCTAGCACTGCAGTAGAAAAGATGTATTTTTTTTTATACCAAGTGGCTCTTTGTTTCACTTTACAAAATTTCATGTTTTGGGAAAACAAAATACCTGATTAGGACCCTTAAATATTGAGTCATCAACTGCAATGGAAGGTTTCTTGATGAAAGCCCTAATTTTCTTAAAGAGGAAGAGGCGACTAATCCGTAAATGGAAGCCTTTGGATTAGCTAGTCATCTAGTTTCTCTGAAAAATAGAACACTAGAATCAAACAACTATCAATAAGCAATCAAGTTCCAAAACATTAAGTCACAAAGATATTATAATGGAATGAGACATTTTGAAAAGTTCATTATTTCATGTAGTTATTATTATTTATTTTTTTCTTTTAACCAATACTCAATATAGGTTATTTTCAAAATTAGCACTTGAAAGATCATCTATCAATCCTTATATATTTGTTACTATCAGGTGTCTTTTTGTGGGATAGTTAAAAAACTGGAGAAGTCCCTTTGACACAAACTGCAACCTACAATACCCTGACTCTAAATTATATTTATGTAAACACAGGTCAAAAGTTGAGTTATAACATGTTCGTAGTGCCCTCTATTTCATTCTCTATTTGTACTATCTTTAAATGTCATGTTGGTTCTTTATTTGTTTAATTCTAATGGCTCTTCTATAATAGGCTGTCTTAGTCCTATTTATCGATTCAGATTAACTTCATTGGTCATTAGCATATATATTGTTTGTGACTTCTATTTTCTAAATATGTATATATCTGAAATCAACTCCAATTTTCTTTTTTCTGTGTTATAGATTTTTAAATATATTGTATGCAATTCTTGAGCTTGTGGCCTTGGCTACAACTTTCAGTTCAAAATGTAAAAAGTTTAAGCTTGACAAAATCATGCTTTGTAATATATCAGTTTGTTTGATTCTATGCAATTCATAAACTAATGGAATTGTGTTAGTGTTTCATTCAAGCCTTTCTTTATTAATAATTATGTTATCCAATTGTCTTATAATTTCAGTTTATTTTTGACCAGGTGCTCTGCTAGGCATATGCAAGGCATGTATACATACCAATGGAGTCAAGTCCTTGGTTTCTCCTTAATTAAAAACTTCTTTATTTGCATTTATTTATAAAAAAAGATAACATGGTACTGACTGCTTGATTAAGAACTGGTTGGGTTGTGCTATTGTAACACTAAAAAATTTAAGCAAAATTTAAACTTTCAAAAACACGTCAAATTCATCAAAACATTACATCTTTGTTTTCAAAATACATTTATATCAGAGTTTTCCCAGAAACATAACACAATAGGAGGAGCTGTATGATCATGCCTTCTCCTTGCCGCGATCCCCTGAGGTACCTGAAACAATAAACTGAAACTGTAAGCCCGAGAGCTTAGTGAGTTACCCCCAAATTACCGATACACATACAGTCCAAATAACCCTGTCACACCTTAACATATCATAACAAGTGAGCAGAACAGCACATAACGGGTCCACAACTTTACAGACTGGAATACCCTTGGGCCCACAGTATGAGTCTAGAATGCCTACCAGGCCCTCAACTCACATCTGGATTGCCACCGAGCCCTCAGTATGAGTCTAGAATGCCTATCGGGCCCTCAGCTCGTATCTGGAATGCCCCCCAAGTCCTCAGTATGAGTCTGGAATGCCTACTGGGTCCTCATCTCATATCTGGAATACTCTAGGGTTTGTTGGCTACCGCACGGAGCAGTACAACCTCAACCCATCCCACATAACATATCACATGTAACAAAAAATGCACATACAGGAAATCAATCAGTATCACAGGTAGTCCTACAGTCCTACCCTCAAGCGTATCAAACTAGCATGCATAACTAACTCCGACTCAACATAATACAACTACTAGGATATCATATCCAATGGGCCAACCTTGGTGCCTTAGACCCCTTAATATAGTGAGGATAACTCACCTCGCAACTATCATCGAAAATAAGAAAGCTCAACTCCCGGGTCCAACACGAACTCCACCACCTAAAAGTACCACACAACCTTTTTCATAAATCTCCCAATCCCAGAAACCCACAGAATTCAATTGGTCAATCCTTGGTCCAAGTCAAAGTCCACAGTCAGAGTCAACAGTCTATGTTGACTCGACTCGCCGAGTGAATGCCACCGACTCGCAGAGTTCTTCCTGAATTCGAGAAGTCGTGAAATCCTTGATTTGCTCGCCGAGGTCCCCTTTTAACTCGTCGAGTTCATATGCGGCCAAGATTTGGAAGAAGCCCTAACAAACTCGCCGAGTTTTTAGACAACTCGTCGAGTTCAAGGCAATCTTCAACGAACTCGCCGAGTTGTTCATCCAACTCGCCGAGTTCATGGTTATCTTCAATAGACTCTCCGAGTCCCTCATTCAACTCGCCGAGTCCATGCAATTCTTAATCCATGCAGATGCTTTTTAAGCCACGACAAGGCCCCAGATTACAGATCCAAGCTCCTAAGACATGTTTATCACGTAAAGTTGCAATCTTTACGTACATGCAAGGCTCTAAAGGCCTGAAATGATAAATCTAAGATCTTTAATGGAGTTTTACACCTTGGTAGAGTTTCATCCTTGTACAATCTGGGAACTTTATGGATCTAGAGGTCAAGGGAAGTCCAAATCTGAAGTTACAACTTCAGATCTTAGCTTAAACATGGAGAGCCCTTCATAACACCCATCCAAGGGAGGTTCAAAGTGAAAAGAGCTTAAGGAACAGCCTATTACCTTCCAGAGAGTGATGTCTGATGCAATCCCTTAGCTTCCCACGACTTCCTGGCCTTGCTTTTCCTTGCTTCTTCAAGTGCTTCCTTCCAAGGTTACTCCTTCAAGCTTGGACACACCAAAGAACACACACACACACACACACTCACATGTTTTAGGGTTTGAGAGGGACAAGAAGCATAAGGGGAGGCTGGTGGAGGCCAATGATCCTTTAAATAGGGTATAAAACCCCCAGAATTTAGGGTTTCATCTGCCAGCTCCTACTCGCCGAGTCCCTTGGTGGACTCGCCGAGTAGGTCACTAAACACGCGTTCCATTTCCACTGCTACTCGGCGAGTAGGGCAACCAACTCGCCGAGTAGGACATAAGACCAATTATTCTTTAATTAAATTCATACCTGGAATTGGGACGTTACAGCTATAGAGCCCATTTAGTAATAGTATTTAGATTATAAATTAACAAACCTTCCACCCGTTTCTAAAAATTATAATTAATTTGTAAATTTTTCACTTGATCTTGCAGTTTTAAGATTCCCAGAAGCTAGTGTAAGGTTTTTACCACCTTAGCATCGCCAGGTCGACGCCCAGCTGTCACAACAGGAATTCGTTGGACAAACACAAACATTACATGTAAGCCTTTCTACTCATCATTCAAAATCTACCCTGTTATCTATACCATTCTACTTTCGGTTTTATTGTTATTATAGCAGTGAAAATTGTTGGGATTTGGATGAGATTGCTATAATTGGGGAAATTTTCTTAAAATAAACAACTAAATACAAGTAGATTTTCTTTATCAACATTGGATAGAAACTAGATAACATATTTTCAAGATTGTAATTGTAATACCTTTCTGGATGCCTTTTCAAAAGCTACTACCATCTCCAACACAGATGTGCCTTTACCCGTTCCTAAGTTGTAGACTTCACAGCCTAAAAAATAGATAATGGTTTGATTTAATGTCAAACAAAACAAAATTTCCAAAACTAAAAAATGTCATTTGCAATCAGAAAGAGATACACACCTATTTTAGGGTCCGAGAGTTTCTTCAAAGCAGCAGTGTGTCCATCTGCTAAATTTACAACATGGATGTAATCATGTACCTGAAATTTGAGGGTAGAAAAGGTAAATATCAACATCATAATTCCCAACAAACAGCAACAGGAGGAAAACTCTATAGAACCTCAAATAAGGTAATCTCAAATTCCAACATTTCCCAATCATTGCATAATAGACACAATGTTTCAAGTTTTATGAAACAGAGCACATAGCACAAAAAAGAAACCAACCCAAAGTATAGATAGATGTAGAAAGCATAAATATTCACTAAAATAGAAATTAAAGATTGAGTTAAGTAAAAAGAAAAGATGTCATACCATCTTGCATTACAGTTTCCTCATGTTGTCTAAGACGCATCACAGGGGCTAAGTAAAAGAAAATATGTCATACCATCTTGCATAACTGTTGAAATTAACATGAACATTAGTTGCACAAAAAATGTATATGATGATTATGGTACACTATGTATAATATAAGGGCGTACTTTGAACTCATAGTTATGTGTTTCTGCGAATATTGTAGTAAAATCAAGAGAAAGCATAAGGCTCAGAAGCAGGCTGGATCGAGATATGGACATCATGGGGATCTTGTGTTGAGGCTTTGAGCTTGTTTCTGAACACTTCTGAGTGAGGAAGTATGAAGGTTAATTTGTGTTTAGATGACGATGAGGGGTGGATTTATATGCAGAGGAAGATGATATAGAGGAAGAAGACTACCCAATCCCATATTCTCCCCAAATCACTCCAAACCCTAACCCCTAATTCACTAATTCAACAATGGGATTAATTTTGTATTTACGGGAAGATAGAGAGGAAGAAGATGAATACGAAAGTAACTACGTACCGTTGAATCTTTTTCTCCTTCTTCAACCTTGACTTTTGAAAATCTTCCACCTCTTCATCCTCTTACCCTCTTCCCACACAGACAAGTGAGGACGCCAGAGCAGTCAACCATGTTATGTAATTGCTTCACCATTGGGCCCCACCGTAAGTTGCAGTAGGGCGTCATCAACGTGAAGAGTCGCAGACCCCCAATCGTCGGTTCTATGAAGGATTTTGTGAGGTCCGCATCCCTAGTTCTTTGAAGCGGGGTTTAAGAATTATAAGAAGAGAACGTAAGAATGAGGTTAGATGAGATCGTCGGTGAGGAAAAAGAAGTGGTGATAGAAACTAGGGTTTTTGTGGGAGACGGAGAAGCAAAATAAGAAGTGAGCCTGATTGTTTGGTTGTCGATTTTATTATATGGAGCAAGAAGAATATAGCAGCGGGGAAGAAGGAATGTGAATGGCCAGTGGTTGTGTTTAGGGTTAGAGAGAGAGAGAGAGGGAGAGAGAGAGAGAGAGAGAGAGAGAGAGAGAGAGAGAGAAAGGAGAGAATGGCTCTGTGCGAGAGATAAGGCGACCCATAGGATCAAAGTGAGAAGCGGGGTATTCAAAATTTTAGAATTTTAGATCCCACTTTAAAAACGCGCGTTTAGTTAACAAAATATTAAGCAACATTTGTAGACGACAGACACTTAAAATAAGCGCCCTCCATGTTTTTAATTTTGTTTTGTTTGACACTAACTGTAGGGCACGAACAAATGCATGTCCTCTATACTTCAAATTTTGGAAAACTGACATCAATTTTTAGGGCACACACAAATGCGTATCCTCTATTAGCGCGTGTAATTGATTGCACGTCGTAAAAGGCTGTTTTTCTAGTAGTGACCCACTAAACCCAGTGAAGAAACTCACCTTAAATGCTGAATCTCATAGAAAGAAATCCCTAGTTGCTGCCCTGATGACTCCCCAAACTATCAATACAAAATAACACCCAATCAACACTTGGGTTCCAAACTATAATCAATAATCCATACATGGGGTAAAATAACCATTTTACCCTTGGCCTATCCTGATCCAAAACTAAGGCCCAAAACCATAAACCAATAAGGCCCAAAACCAAACGATCCATAAAGGCCTACTTATGGCCTAATTTTCCAAATTAGGCCCAAACCCCTAAATGGGCCTTGCCCTAAGGCCCACTAAAATTCCTTAATCCAAAAGCTTAATTCTAGATCGCCCAAAAGGCCCAAAGTAACAAGGTCCAAGAAAATGGCCCAAACCAAGGCCCAAACAACACCAAGCCCAACTGCCTGAGTACGCCCCGCGTACATACACGCTGCATGGCTTGTACGCTGTGCGTAAGAGCTTGTATGCCCAACGTACTAACCCAATAAGCTATTTCTCCAAAAAAAACTCTTAACCACTTAAGTCCAAGAGTCCCAATCACAGATCTGAATCATTTGCGACGTCTTAACCTATAAAGTCGACAACTTGGTGGCTTTGCATTCCCTAAATGAGCCCAAACTCAAAATATAACATTTTACTTCCATAAAAATGGCCATTACTCAAGCACGGTTGTATTAAAGCTTCAAAGGTGGCAACTTTATGACTCTAGGACCCAAAGAACACCAAGAGTAGCAACTCTAAGCTTCAAAAACGAAAATAATCCACAAGAGCTCATCTATGGGACCAAAAGGGTCCAAAAGCTAAAACATGGGGATCTAAGCTTCTAAAGATCAAGATGTTGGATTAGTGTCTAAGTACATAACTATTTTGGTATGTACTTGACCCGATGGTGTATGGTCCTTTTGGGTTGCCTTCACCAAAACAACTTGATTGGAGAAATAAATAAAGAGAGAGGTTATTATGATTTATTAATATGTTATAAGAATAATATATTAATAGGAGAAATCATATTTGTTTAATTAATATTAGTCAATAATTAATTAAGAATTAATTTTGTGATCAAATGTAATTAATTAAACTAGATGGGCTGAATTGTAATTATGTGATAGTTACAAAATAAGGTAAGGATTATCTTATTAATGGGTTAGACGGTTCTAAGGTAATAAAGCCTTAGAATTCAACTAGGATAAGGATTTCTAAGACTTATCTTATGGTTACTTGGTGGGCAAGCAACTAGATAAGGATAATGACTAAAACCCTAATCTTTACACCTATATAAACCCCCTAAGGCTCATGAATTCGGGTATCCCTTCCCAAGATGTCCTAAAGACGAATTATTATACCTCTCCTCTTTCTTTATAACTTCTCCATTTGCTCTTGGTGTTTGTAAGCCATTAGAGGAGTGACACTTGTGACTCTAAGCCTTCCAAAGTCAATTCAAGGAGGAATTAGGATTGTTATTGCTACATAACAATCAAGGTAATATCTTAAACCTAATTATATGTTAATATCTATTTCCATATGCTAGAATTAGGGTTTATAGTCTTAGATTCAAAGCATGAACAATAGAGAAACCTAGATCCAAGCTTTAGGGTTTGTATGAGCACATAAGATGTCTTATGACCAAAACCCATCAGTGGTATCAGAGCCTAGATTGGTTTCAATTGTATTGATGCATTACATGTTAAAAAAAATTCGATTTTTGGTGTTTTGGAGGCTGGACTCGCCGAGTCCATGCAGACTCGCCGAGTCCAGGCTTGACTCGACGAGTCAACTCGTCAGATGGAGGGTATCTCGGGTTTTCTTGCTGTTTTTGCTTATGGATAGTTACCTTATCATGTTAGATCAATATTAATCCGATTGTATGATATATTTGACTATAATTTTGATCTAATTGAAGATATTTATCAATTAATAAGATAATTGTTTCCTTATGTGATAATTGATTAATTATTTTGAGTAAATTGATAAATTGTTTTGCAAGAAATCATTAAATAAATCAAATATGGATAATTATGTGATTAAATGTTAATTTGAATTATTTGTTATTTGATCCTTGTTGTTATGAAAAGTTTCATATTTTTCCATTTAGGTTTTATAGTTTAAATTTGAACCCAAAAGTTTTGTTGTTTTGAAATTTAAATAGTTGAAACCCTAATGTTTTGAAAAAGGTTCAAAACTTGCCCTCAAGTTTTGGAATTTAAATTTTAATTAAATAGCTTAATTTTGATGTATATTTAAATTCTAAACCCTTATGTTTTTGAAATGTTTCAAAACTTGCCCTCAAGTTTTGGAATTTAAAAGTTGATTAAAAGTTTAATTAGGAATGTTAAATTCTAAAACCCTAGTAATGTTTTGAAAAGTTCAATTCACACCCTTATGGTTTTATTAATTAATTAAGGTGTATAATTAAAAGAGGTTTAATAAATCCATAAAAGTTTTGGTTTGAAATTTAATTGAATTAAAAGTATAATTATTAATTTTTAACCACCTAGTATTTTAAAAGTGTAAAATACACCCTATACTATATATATAACATTAAAAGTCTAACATTATATATATGTATGAGTAAAAGTCAGTCTTACCGTTAGTAGGCCTCATTCACGAAGCTGGTCTATAAGGGGTGTTTAAGGAAATTGCCTATAATATGGCGATTGAATGGGTATCCACTCTTACCCACCGCACTCTTGACTAGTGGAGGGTCGTTAGCCGAACGGGTAGGATAGGACGAAACCTTCCATTATAAGTATAATGAAATAAAGTAACTAAATGTTTTTCAAATTCCAATCTTAGTTACTTAGGCAAAAGTGAATTGATGCAATTCCATGAAATTACACTTTGTGCCCTTGCGAAGACGTTAGTGGAGCGTGTGTGGTTTACCGGCACACTAAATGGTTCTAAGCAAAGGTAGCAAAGGGTGACTCAATGTTTGTCATAGTTCGGTGGAGCGTGTGTGGTTTACCGGCACATCGAATAGGTGATTGTAACATGTGAGGGCACCATGTAAGTTTGCATGGTTATTCACACCCGCTTTGTGATCCTCGGCATCCCAGTCACAAACAAGAGGGGCATATCGAGATTTAAACATGCCATTGAAATGTTCAATGAATCTCAAAGGATCTAGGAGTTTTCATAGATTTAAAACTTAAATTTCTTTTTCATTTTTCATGGTGGAAATTAGTGAATCGTCATTCACTTACCTTCAAATATTCCGCAACTAGATTACGGCATCCCTTTTCTAGGTTGTAGCGTATTGTGTTGGGTCCTAGCCTTAGTATCTCATTTGGGTGATTTACTAAGGACTCAATCAATCAACTAACTTGAATTTGTTTTCTCCCGTTTTGTAGATGTCAAAGTTCGACAACTATGGTCTTCCCAAATCCTGTGGAACAAGCATTCCACATGAAGATGATATTCCACGATTCGATCGAGGAACAAGAAATCATGCTTCACTGCCTCCTCCTCCTCCAATTGTTATCCCTAACCCACAAGATCGAAGAATTGAAAGGTTCAATATCACTAAAGCCCTATTGGAAATGAAACATAAAGATGGTAAGCCCGTGTGTGCCCACGTTCTAGGAATGAAATCACACATTGATAGGTTGATAATGTTGGGTGTGTCATACCCAAATGAGTTGGCTGTAAATTGGGTGCAGTCACTTTCTGAATCATATAATGAGTTCAAAAGAAAGTATTATATGATGGATCATGGCGACAACCTCATTGACCTAACTTACATGCTCATTGCTGCTGAATCAGAAATGATTTGGCGAAGCAACGGAGCATATTTGTTGGGAAAGTCAACCGACCATGCTTCCGAGGACGTTCTAGGAGAACCGATCTGCGTTTGCTGCCAAGAGAAAGGGCGTTGGATAGAAGTCTGCCCCAAGAGCCTGAAAATTCCAAAGATGGGAGAGTCAAAGAGTATGACTGTGCTTCAGGTAAAATCGACTATCTATCTTCGTTAAGTTCCTATTCATTGATTCAAATACATGATGTGATAAGATTGCATTTGAATGTTTTGCAGGATCGGTGAAAAGAAAGGAAGCTTGGTGAAAGAGCAAGATGAATCTAATCACAAGAAATGGATCTTGATCGCATGGACTTGAAGATTAGATTTTGAGCTTAGATAGTTACGATAGAGTTGTTAGAAATTTTCCTTTTGAAATACATAGTTTTCAATGGATTTTGCATTGTAAGGACAAATGTTTTCTGCTGCTTTTATAAATGAAATAAATTTTGTTTGACTTATTTATTTACTTGTTTATTCCTTGCAATG